TTGCAAGTCATTTTGTCGGGAGCGGCACGGAGAAGAAGGACAAAGTCACCCTGACGACCGAGAAGACACTGTCTGTACTTTATTTGACCTGACAACCCCCCATCATCCCGGGTCTGCTTCAGATTTCCCCATCTTCTGCACCTCTTCCCCGGACGCTCTGCCGGCGTGATTCCCGGCCATCGGTACCCAAACCAAGAGAGAGATTCATACATCAGCCCCAGCCCACCATGCCCACCCACATCATGGAACGCATCAAGAGATCCCTCGGCAGCGACTCCCGCCCCGAAATCCCCCTCGCCTGCCCGCCACCGTCCCGCTCCAGCTCCGTCTCCGGGCCGGGGCCCCGGGACATGAGGACCCAGCCACGCCTGCACGCCCGGGGTGCGACCTCGCGATCAAGGTACGCTGCTCTGCTCTGCTCTGCTCTGCTCTGCTCTGCTCTGCTCTGCTCTGCTGGATGAGAAAGAAGGAAGGAAGGAAAAGACCCGAGATTGAACAGGCGCTGACGCACCTTCCAGGAGCGACATCCTCCCCGAGCAATGCCCCAACCACGACGTCCGCGACGCGGCGCACTCGCCGCCCTCGGTCCTGAGCCGGTACCTCGGCCCGCCCGTCGTGGAGCACAAGTATCCGCAGGACAGCAAGTGGAGGAGGCACTCGATCAGTGCGCAGGAGCAGTATTTCACGCGATGAGGGGGGGGGATGCACAGGACACAAAACATGTATACCAATTTGAATATTTTTTTTTAAAAAAAAAAACATGACAAAATGAAAGAATTACAAAAACAAATTACAAAAAAGGGTCTATTTATTTCAACATCAAACAACATCAAAATCAAGACCAACAAGTCGCAACCCCAGCAAGACATGCCTGCTCCGCCTTGTTTCTTTCCCCCATCCTCGTGAACCGCCTGATGCATCCGCCCGACCTATAAGTTTCCACAGCAGGAGCAAGCGACAACCCAACCACCTCCCCACTACCTCTACCTATCTGAGTATCTGAGTATCTGAGTATCCGAGTATGCACCAAGCAATCACAAACAAACCACACCGCAAACCACCAAAAGAAATATAGACCACATTAACCACAGCCCGCAAAAGCAGCCCACCACCCTAAAAAAAAAAAAAAAGAAGTACCGCTGAGACAGCCAAAAGAATGACACCTGAGGGATTCGAACCCTCGCCTATTACTAGACCGCGAAGAGAGACACCATCCTGAGGTGGAAGTACCTGAACACGGCGCCTTAGACCACTCGGCCAAAGTGCCTTGGTTGATGTTTCAGGTCACTAAACAAATTCAAGACCGTCAAACGTGTTTTTTTTTTTGGTTTGGGGGGGAGTAAGAACAATGGGAGGACAGACAAAACTGTCTTTGCGCGAGGGGAACGCTGTTTTTTTTTTTTTCCTTCCGTCCTTTTTTTTTGGACCACTCAAAAAGCATAGAAAATTAGACTAAAATGGGAGAGACGGCACTGGTGATGAGGTAGTCGCGCCGAGTATGAGGGGTTATAACTGATGGGCATGGCGGCATGGCGGCATGGCGGCATGGCGGAAGGGAAACGCCACCAGGTTTGGATTGATGGGACTCCAAAACGGGTTTCTCTTCTTTTTTTTTTTGTTTTTTTTTTCTCTAAATCAAGTTTTTATTGTCCTATCATTTCCGGGGGTGGCGCAGTATCATTCGCGTCACAAAGGATATCCACGGCTCACGTCTCACGAGTCTCTATTCAACCGTGTGCAAGACGGATGGAACATTCAGTGGCCATTTCAAGTCGTGGGGCTGTCGCGCCCGCATCTTGTCCTCTCGCACCAGCAGTCGCAGACAGCACAGCAGCCAGAAAATCGTGCCAAAAGGAAGAAAAATATCGGACAGAGCAAGAGGTACAATTTCCTGATAGATATTAAGTCCTACAATCTACCTAACCGGGCCGAATATAAACCACCTATTCGCGACGCCAAGACAATACCCGCGGACTCGGGCATTGGGGGGGGGGGGGGGGGGGGGGGGGGGGGGGGGTCGTGAGATCGTAAACCGTAAACCGTAACTCAATAAACAGAAAGGGGACAAAACAGGGGACAAAACAGGGGACAAAGAAGAGGAAAAATCAGGGGACAAATCGCAGACGCAATTGAGAAAAGAAACAAGTTGCAATACCACAGAACTGTCTCGAAAGATCAATAAGAAAGGGGGGGACAAATTTTCAATCAGTAGGTCCATGACTTTGTAAACAAGTAAACAAGTAAATCAATGAAAATGACAAGAAGGGGAGGCAAGCAAAGAGAATCAAACGGGTCATGACATCGTAAATACTGACAAATCAATCACAAGTAGACGACGAGGGCAGAGAAAGAAAACACCAAGGCAAGTCGAAAAAGGGACCGAGAAAAAAACACACGCATGCTGCACGAATATTGCTACTGAGAGTCCATCCGGTTTCCCCCACACACAGATCATGCATACTCAGTCGCGTTGGATCATGATTCCGTGGTGCACATTTCTTGTTCCGACGACGCACGCGTACACAGGATGCGAAGCGCATTCTAATGTAGTCGTTCTTGGATGTAGACCGTGGTGGACAATACTGAGCAACAGCGGACGCTCATCTCATGCTTGCACCAGGAGCACCGGACAGTCATGGACAAGGCGCCAGCATACCCGCACTTGCCCGAGAGGCTGAGAGCATCCTCGGGGTTGGACATGGCTTTGTACAGGTTGCTAGGTATGTCGTGGTAGTGCTTGCAGGCGCAGCATTCGACAAAGATCTTGGCAATGCGGTCTCGGTCCGAGGTCGGAAGCTGAGGTGTGGACCTGTGGCGGATATGACGACCGAACGGGTCGAGGGCTGCCGATTCAGGCTTCGGTTTGTCATTTGCAGCATTGAAACCGTCCGCCGGGGGAACAAACGAGGTTGGCGGCCCGAGGCGCTGCTTGTACGAGCGGGTTGGCGGCACAGCGGTCGGGGGCTGCTTGCGGGCTCGTTTGAGGTAGCAGGCGGGCGAAGAAGGATTTTGCATGGCATCGGGATCCGTGGACTTATTTTTGGGACCCAGGTTGAGGGGCCGCTCACTGGCAGACGGCTCAAAGCTTGCATCTGTGGCCAGGCTGGCGTAGGAATTGCTTCGTCGGTAAGGATCAGGTCTCTGTACCGGGATTTCGTTGAAGACGGCAAGGACTTTCTCGGCGGCAGCTTGGATGGGATCGAGCCCCTCTTCATCTTCCGAGTTATCTGCAGTTGGCAGCGGGTATGTTTTGCTAAAACAGGCTCTGACCGCGCTATGAACCGAGGCCGGTGTGTCCTCTCCGCTCGATATCCGAGGCATTCCTTGCTCAGACTGCGGCCGAGAGGTTGCAGGTGTGCTGACTGACGAAGCGGAGTGGAAGTCGTCATCGCACGAGTCCTCTGATGAACTCGTTGGCAAATGTCCGTTGTGGCTAGGCGACGGCAGATTTGATGACATCCGGCTTGTGGTAGGAGAAGAAGTTGCTCCTTCGGTCCATCCATATCTAGAATGCCTTTTCTTGGGCTTCGTCACATCCGTGGAGGCTTGAGTATCGGCATACTTTTGTTGTGGCTGTTGATGAGTTGGCGTCGGCACCGGTCGCGTTGATTCGACTGAACTCGATGCAAAGGCAGAGTGTCGCCTTGGGCTTCGTCGAGGCGGCTCTGGCGGAGGAGGCGTAGAAGGGGCCGTCTTGAACCCAGTCGCAGCAGACGAGGTCGACGAGACAGACTCATTGTTACTGTGCTTCTGTGCGCGGCGGTCCTCAGACTCGGACTGGTTATTGCGCTCGGCATGGGCAAGCGTTCCCGACGGGCGCGAAGTTCCTGCGGCGGATACAAGACGCGTTGGCTCTGACGAGGAAGGGCCTGGTGGTGGTGGTGACTGATGCTGCTCCCCAGGTCCCTTGGTAGCCAGGGGCAGATGTTCCTGTTGCGCGCATCCAGTCGAATTGTCTCCAGGTCCGCGGACCGACGATTCCTCACCGGTGATGGGGCCTGCTACTAGCGATGGTGGCCGCGATCCCGCTTTGAGGCCGAGGCTGGTGCGCCACTTGTCAATCTTGCTGACGTCGGGAATGGCGGGCGCCGCGGGAGACATCATACGACAGGCCGCTGTCTTCTGATGACACTTGCTTGCCCTGGTGATTGGTGGATATCGACGTTGATCTGTTCCGCTCGGAGTCCCTGGGCTGGCCAGTTGTGGTTGAAAATCCTGATTGTTTTTGCGAAGAGCAGGATGAACGTTGAACTCGTCTTCCATAGCGCTGCTGTCCAGGTTGTGTTGCTGATGGGCATGTCGCTGAAGTTCCAGCTTAATGCCACCAATGAAACCCGGGTCGTTCACCCGGTCCGTGGACAAACGTCGGAACTCAAACGGCGCCCTGAGCATGGAAACAAATGAGCCCGATCGACTGCGAGCCTTTCGAGCAGGTTTGCCCTCCTGGCTCGAACTGCTCGCAGCAGCTGTACTTTCTGCCCTCTCCCGCCCACGTCCTCTGGCCACATCGGCCTCTGAAGCCGAGGCATGTTGGGCCGTCTTGAGCGGGCTGGGCGGCGGTGGTTTCTTGGAGAGCTTCTTGCAGCCATCCTTCCTGGACTCCCCTCGCTCCTTCTTCTCCATTTTTTTCTCGATTTTGCGTCGTTCGTATGCCTCCCAGCTTGGGGAATGGCACCGTGCAGTTTCTTTGGGGGGGAATTCAAAAGCCACAAGTTTTGTGTAAGTCTCATGTGGTGTTTCTGGACCCGAGTGGAGGGCATTTCCATTGGAGAGCTCCCGCATCTTGTCCATGAACCGATCTGATGGGCTCATTGTGGGAGACGGGTTGGTGCTGACGATGAGAGGAGAAAGTTGGGGAGGAAGAGAGGTATGACGGCGGCGGTCCACGCTGCTTCGACTGGATCTTTGGTCATCACTCTTGGCACGACGGGTCTGAATGCTGGTGCGGTTGGAAGAAGACGCCGGGTGGTCCGTGAACGGTATGGGAGCCGCTTGAGCTTTGGAGCCTGTCGGCATCGACTGTGTATCACGCCATTCGTTCTGCAGGCGGGACCGGAAAGACAAGTCAGTTTTCAAATCAAAGACAGCTGGCATTGCCAAGCAGAGTTTCGCAAGCAAATCGACAGGAGAAGAGAGGATGGGACTTGATGCTCACCGCATGCTGTTTGTACAGGCCGCTGAAACGACGGGGTTGATTCATGGTGTCGGCCATGGCGGGATGCTCGGTGGTCGGGTTTGCGTTTACCGAACTGGTCTGGTTGGAAGGCCTGCAGCTGGCGGGCAGCTGGCGGGCAGCTGGCTATCTATCTATAGTACCTAATAATGGCTGGGAAAGTGCCGGTGGATCTTGTGGCTGCGCAGTGCGAAGTACTAAAAGCCTTGGTCTCTCTGCGCAAGTGGCGGGGCGATGCCCCAAGACGACGAGAAGCGCAGACGATGTGAAGCATGAGCAGCCTAGCACCTTCAGTCAGTCCGTGAAGTCGCAAAAAGCATTGGTCGTCCTTTTTTTTTTTTTTTTTTTTTTTTTTTTTTTTTTTTTTTTTTTTTTTTTTTTTTGCACATGGCTGGCCAGCGACAATGTTTCTCTTCCCGCGCGTTTCGGCCTGACGTGGCTGCTTCATTGTCGCCCTCGCCCTGTTTCTGCAGAACAAACGAACGTACGTCCGACGTACCAGACGACACATGCATGCTACCTCCAGTACCTACCCAGTGCCCACCAGCCCCGCTGCAAGGGTAATCGGGAGGCAGCGAACTCGATTGCCGTCGGTACTGTGGAGATGTTGCAGAGGGAAAAAAACGGTGTCGTTTCGTGCGTGACGTCGTTGACAGCTGCGGGGCGATAAGCGAGCGCTGTGCTGTGCCAGTCCGGCAGATCGATGAGAACAAGAAAAAGAAGAGCCTAGTACCTAAGCAAGGGATTCAACCCTCTGCTATATGTAAAACACCCTCCTGAGCCGCCACCAGGCCTGTTGGTCCGGGACGATGGCACCGCACTTGAATACGAGCATATCGTTCTGGTGGTGTGTGCGGCGTGCCCAGTGCCCACTGACTGGCAGGCAGAAGAGCGACGAGGCTGCACGGGATCAAAGTGCAATGCACGGCCAGCGTAAATAGTACCCCTGGATTTACTTTACAAATCTACCTCGCCAAGGGGGTTCGGAGGGCGGACGTCAAGCCAATGATCTGTCAACTCCAACATTTATGACGCATAATGTGGAAGCTATAGTACCTTAATTCAATAGGGAGGTACCTGGCACTGGGCAGTAC